GGGGTATGGAGTGAGTGGGAGTGTAGAGTATTGAATGGGGGTATGGAGTGAGTGGGAGTGTAGAGTATTGAATGGGGGTAGGGAGTGAGTGGGAGTATAGAGTATTGCATGGGGTATGGAGTGAATCAGGAGGAGAGGGTAGAGAATTAGGCATGGGGACATCTTGTGTGGCCTCAAATCCTGAGCTTGGACACTTGGCCTCAGTCCTGAGGGCACTGGTGAGCCAGCACAGGTTTTGAGCAGGAGAGGGCTCTGGTTGCCCGTTGGGCTGTGGAAGGTTACCGCAGCTTCTCGGTGGAGGGGAGCTGCATAAGGAACCTGAGACCAGTGTCCAGGGTGAGAAGTGGCTGGCCAGGGTTTGGGACGAGGAGGAGGGGCAGGTAGAGGGATGCTCAGGAGGCCAAGGGCACAAGCCACGCCTTACAGGTTTGTGGGAGAGGTCATGACAGGGTCCCCAGGGTGGGAGAGATTGAGGCTGAAGACAGGTGAGAGACCTGGAACCCTGAGGGTGGGTGAGGCAGCCCTGGGAGGGTTGAGAGAGCTGGGCTTTGCTGTGTGAGCCGTGAGTCGGGTCTAACTCATGGTGGCCCTGGAGGAGGGAGCAGAGCTGCCTCACAAGGTCACCGGGAATGTAACCTGAGCAGAAGGCCAGGGTTTAGCCTCCAGAGCAGCCGTCATCCACCGTTGGCTTACGGCAAACTGTTTAACCATTGCAACCACCGGGGCACTGAGAAGACCTCAGTCTTTGGGTATTTTATATCCGTTGGAAATACTTGGGCTGCAAATAAGAAAAACCCCTGTGGCTGACTCAACGCGGGCTGCAACAATAGGAGAGGAGGGAGATGACACCTCACCAGCAAGCGCGGTGCTAGGGAGGGCTTCTGAAATGATACGACCTGCACTTTTGTGGCTCCAGCCTCCCCTGTCTCTGGGCTCTGCTGCCCTTGCTGCAGGCCTGACCCCCAACTGGAGCTGCTCTCATGGCCCCAAGGTGGCTGCAGTAAATGCAGGCATCACCCCATCCTCAAGGTCTAATGCAGGGAGAAGGGGAAAACCAGGTGTTTCTCGCTAACCAAGCAAAGCAGTGTATACACTCGTGTATAAGCCGAGGTTTCCAGCACATTTTTAATGCCGTTTTTGTGGTAAAATCAGGTGCTTCAGCTGATATTCGGGTCGGCTTATACTCGAATATATACGGTAAATGAACTTTACAGAAGAACACAACATAAGACAATGTAGGTGATGGTTTTTGAGAATATGATTGAGGTGATAGTTTAAGTGCAGACACGCATAACCTTGCATTTAGCATTGATACTGTTAGAAATTCACAGACTGTCTTGTGACCCAAATGGGCTCATGTACCCTTTCCCGAACCAGTCCTTCGCCTGAGCGGTGGGCCCACTATTATTAGCTTGGGCTCTTCAAGGTCATCCCTGCCCGTCCTAGACCCGGGGCTTCCGAGTGGAGGACAATGGGTAACTCAGGAGAAGGGGGCTGCTGCCCGTAGAATTTGGAAGGAAGGCCGAGAGAAGGGTCACTGACAGTCCACCAGGGCTGCTGTGTAGCATGCATGGTGGAGCCCACCCCCAGGGATGCCCGATGGGCAGCGCGGTAAGGGATTGGGGCTGAAGTTCAAGGCTAACTAGGATATGCCCAAAGGAGACACCTTTTAAAAGTAACAGAACGCCCCACATGGTGGGCATTGGCCATCAACCAACGTCCTGATGCTGAGAAGAGCTGAACATGCAGCCGGAGAGAAACAAGGGACCCGGGAACCAAGAGGGAGGTCAGGGGGATGCTGCAAGAGGAGAAGACGGAGGAAGGAGGCCTCGGCCTTGTCAGACCACGCTCAAACATAGGAGGTTGCTTTCGGAAGAGCGGTCACAAACAGGTGGGCCGGCTCACAACCTCGGTGCCGTCCACTGACTGATTCACAGCACGCCGAGGGGGCTGAGCCGAGCAAGCTACCCAACAGACACCGAACTCAAAATCTGCCTCTGAGTCCATTCAGACACAGCAACCCTACAAGCCTGGGAAGAACTTCCTCTGTGGGTTCCTAAGACTAACTCTTTTTTAAAAAATTTATTGGGGGTTCTTACATCTCTTATCACAATCCATACGTTCCTCCAATGTGTCAAGCACATTTGCACAGATGCCGCCATCATCATTTTCAAAGCACTCTCTTCCCACTTGAGCCCCTGATATCAGCTCCCCAGACTGTAACTCTTCATGGGAATAAAGAGCCTCCTCTGTCTCTCGTGGACCTGCTGGTGGATTCAAGCTGCTGACCTCGTGGTTAGCAGCCCACCTGGGCTCCTCTAACAAGTCAACTCTCTGCCATCCAGCGGAAGTGGACCATAGCGACCCTGTAGGACAGGGTAGAACTGCCCCTGTGGTTTCCAAGGCTGTCGTTCTTTGTAGCCCCAGAGTGCTACACAGAGTGGCTGGTGGTTTCAAACTGCTGACCTTGTGTTTTGAAGCCCAATTCATAACCACTAGGCTATCCGAAAACGTTCGTTTTCTTCTAACATAGACGATGTATTAAGTGCCGGGTACTGTTCAAACCCCCATACATAATCCTGTAGCCCTCCATCCTAAACTGGGCTCTAGAGAGAAGCCAAACCAGTGAGGGGCACATGCCGACCAAGGTAACTCAAGGACGTGCGGGGGCCCCAGCTCACACTGGCATGGGTTCACCCCAATGAAATGTGTGGACGCATGTCTCTGCAGTCCGTGGGTGGCTACAGCCCAAGTTATTTCAGTAATGACCGCTCTCAGTCTCATCAGAGTGCCTTCAAAGGGGTGGGGGGTGCAGGGAGGATGCTTTTTGTGCTGGGCAGGGGATGATTTTGAGGTCTGGGGCAATATCAAATTTTAAATAAAGCCCCAAGTGGGCATCTTCCCAAATCAGTGCCGCTCTGCCACAAGTTTACAGGGATGCTGCCGCATGTAAAACAACTGTTTAGATAGGTCCCATGTTCTAAAGGAAGACCCCAAAGATGAGCCAAGAGGGGGAAGTGCTTCAATCTCCGCGAATGAAGGAATTGTGTCAGAAGTCCACGTGTCGGTCTGGCATTGTAAGTGAATCTGAGCTTCAGCAAGCTTTCCCGTGCTGTGGACGCCAAAAGTGTTACGCGAAGCCCAGCTGACTCAAAGAATCGGTCTACCCATCAATCTTTTAAGCAAGCGTGAGGCCAGTACACATGGTTTTATGGAATGAGTCATAACCAGAGATCAGTCTTGGACTTAACAATAGAATTCAGAGAGGAAGGGCCTGTGAAACAGTGGCTTCCCAGGGGACCTGCTGGTGCTGTAGGGGGACATCCCAATTTCTCCAAGGACATAGGATGCTGATTATGAACAAGTTTGAAGAAAATTGAAAATGGCCTTGGTGAGGAAAAGGGCAGGACAGTTGCACCGGATTGTTCTGTTGGTTTCCTCATGACAGTGCAGCTGCCCGTTCTTTGAGGGCAGCAAGGGCCATCCTACGATGATGCCACCAGAGGCCCCGACAGCTCTCATCATGCCCCTTCAGACCTCCATTCCCCCAAATCAAAGAACACCACGTGAGTCTCTGGAGGATGCCAGCCGGGCTGTGTGGACATGGTGTCCGTTGGAGAGGAACATAGAATTCTGTGGAGAAGGCTGACAGCAATGGAGGCACCAACTTCAGAAAAGTAGACCTATATGGAGGACATGCGGTTAGAGACGAACATCACACTTGGGTGGTTTTGTTTAATAAAGGGATCTATGATTTTGTAACCGTATTTTTATCGTCATTTGTTTGATTGTTTCAAGGAAATGGTTCATGTGATCGAGGAGGCTGGCGAGTCCCAAAGTTTTGAATAAAGCGCCAGGTTGGAGACTTGGGACTCACATCTCGGTAGGCCAGGCTGCTTTCTCCGGGGGTTGCAGGAGCTGTCAACTCTAAAATGTGGAGTCTGGTGACAGGCTGCTGGCTCAAGTCTGAAAGCCAGAGGGTGACGACAAATCCCTGCCAAACCACTCAGAGCCATGGCCCACCCAAGTTCACATAGAACATTAGCTGACACATGCGCTCAACAACCTGTGATTTAAATACACTGTTCCTATTTGACAAAATGGAGAGAGGACCTAGAGAGGCTAACCAGCCCAAAGGCACACCAAACACCCAGATAGGATTTGAACAAGAGTTCGGTGGGTCACCCTGTCCTGTGGGGACTCAGCAACACCCGTGTCTCACCTTCAGCCCCTCAAACCTTCACAGGGTCATCGTCGGCTTCCCTGTTACTGAAGACTGAGGAGGCCGTTTCTCCTCGGTCACAGTCAAGGGAGATGCTTGTGTAACCTGGCTTCCATCTCTCACTGCGTCTTCCAGATCCTGCTGGAGTTTGGATCCGCTCTGTTCAAGGCAATTGGCAAGAACACAGTGCTTGCTGCAAGTACAAGTACAAAAGTGTACAGTGGAAAGTAAGCCTTTCGCCCTCTGGCTGTGTTGAGCATGTCCTCCAGGAATAGTCTATGCCTGCATCCTTTCCCGCCCCCTTCTCACTTTTTCCATATAACGAGCCCGGAGCAATACCTGGTGTGGTGAGGTGTTCATGACAAACTGAACACAGAGCACCCCGTGTTGGTCTGAACGCTCTCACTCTCAGGCCACGTGGCTTTGGATCAATGAGCTCCCCTC